TCCCTTAAGCTAGTAAAACCAGAGCTTCCTTTTATGCATGAAATCCTTTCAAGCGAAATTGATTGACAAACTAGAAAGTTTACTACTGTATTATGTATTCTTTGGATCTCTTCTACCTTATTGTTTAAACTATCTTGGTTTTTGTTGTTTTCTTCTTTCAGGTTCATCACACTGCTACCCATTTGTTGCAAGCAGCACTTAAGAAATTAATTGGCCAGGAAATATCACAAGCTGGTTCATTAGTGGCTTTTGATCGTCTCAGATTTGATTTCAACTATGGCCATGCCCTTACTGACACTCAGCTTGAAGATATTGAGCAACTGATAAATGGATGGATTGGGGCTGCAACATTTCTTGAAACAAAAGTGATGCCTCTTAAGGATGCAAAAGAAGCTGGTGCGATTGCAATGTTTGGGGAAAAATATGGCGAGCAGGTTTGTGTTTATTCTTCATTATAACAATGAATTGTATGCAAGCATTGCTAGCTTATTTTGGGTTTGGGGTCGTCGTACCTTTTTGTTAATTAACTTATGAACATACATCACATTCTGACAATCATAACTTATTCAGATATTCTTTGTTAATTCCTAGTCGAAAAGAGTGGCTTTGTTTGTTAATCTAGTTCTAGCTGAAGAGGCATTCGGGATTTAGAAAGTAGAAAGCTCCCTTGTTGGACTTTTTCATGGTCTTGGTGTTTCTTTTTTTCTTAACTCTTGGGCTTCTATAATTTCAGAACTTCTAACCTGACAAATCTCACAACTTCTATGATAGGATCGTGAATGTGAATTTTCCGATATGGGTGTAAGGTCATCATGCTACATGTGTCCTACTTGGAACTTAGAATTGTAATCACTAATGGAAAGATAATGGCTTATGATTACTTCAATGAAAACAAGCACTTTGTCTTCAAAACTCTAGCCATTTCTAGAAAATGCCACAGATCAGTTTTTTCCAAAGTAGAAGATACTGTGGAGAAAAGCATAAGAAAATGGTCTTCCTAGTTCTCTAAGCATTGGATTTGACTCTGACAAGGAGGAATAAGCATGTAAAGACAGACTAGCAAAACAAATTAAACTTTGAATCATTTTCTTTTCATCCTTCAACTAGATCTCATGCCACGTTATCTTAGCGGTCTCTTTAGTAGCACTATGGAAGTTCCTACTCGGCAACTCAAATGTTTACAGACTTGTACCTTACTAAAAGTATAAGTTGTCCTAATTTTATAATGCCTTGCAGGTAAGAGTTGTGGAAGTTCCCGGCGTATCAATGGAACTTTGTGGTGGGACCCATGTCAGAAATACCTCTGAAATACGTGTCTTCAAAATAATATCTGAGCAAGGGATTGCATCTGGAGTCAGGCGCATAGAAGCTGTTGCTGGTGAAGCATTCATCGAATATATCAATGCCAGGGAATATCATATGAAGAATCTATGCTCCATGCTCAAGGTATGTTCTCTTTTCCACCCTTGTGGTTATAACTTAATACTTAAACCTTTTCCCAACTTGCTTCATTCTGGAAAATTAAAGTCAATCTGAAAAGACTCTTCCCAGCGGGATTTGTATGTATCTACAAGTACCATAACTATTTCTTTCTGTCTCACTGTACACATTTACATTTTTACTTAAGTCTGTCAATATCAGAGGCCCGTCTAAATGTATGGCCCCTTGCCCTACTCGCCGAAAATTCTTTCTTTTGGGTATGGCTTGGCGATGTATTCATGTTTCCTCTCTTATCATGTACAGGTTATGCATCATTTTCAGAAAATGCCTGACTCAGCTTGAACCTCTAATTGCTCCAAAATGATGTATCCTATATTTTTCTGCTTCTGCGAATTTATGGCTTTTTAATTATGCATGAGTCAGCAGTTGATTCTTCTGTTTTGATGCTCTCCAGTACTTAAGACATTCTCCTTTGGCCACTATCAGAGATTTTTAATGTTATTTAGCATCATTTTTGCAGGTGAAAGCTGAAGAAGTGACAACCAGGGTAGAAAAACTCTTAGAGGAGTTACGAATGTCAAGAAATGAAGTTGCTAATTTGCGTACAAAAGCAGCGGTGTATAAAGCATTAATGATTGGAAGCAAGGCATTCGAAGTAGGAACTTCACAAAAGATAAGGTAATTTCCCTTTTTTCTTTTTAATTCAGTTTTATATATTTCCTATTTCAAGTCAAAGGACCTACAAAAGGAAAAAGGTCACAATACTTGTAGTTTATGTCATAAACATATTCTCTTTATTAGTTTAGGAGTTCTCAGGATCCTAAGGGTTACTTGTCATTACTACTGGTTATGACTTTATACCTGTTCATCTGTAAATATTTCTTATCTCGTTTTCAAGATTGATGATAAAAATATCATTTCAAATATATAAAATAGTTTTTGCTATTTAATGGAACACATTTGTGATTTTTGTTCTTTGGCTTTTGAACATTCTACTCCAGGGTACTAGTTGAGTCCTTGGATGATGTGGATGCTGATTCACTGAAAGTTGCTGCTGAGCATTTAATTGATACACTGCAAGATCCTGCAGCTGTAATCTTGGGCTCCTGTCCAGATGAAGGGAAGGTTAGTTTAGTTGCTGCTTTCACTCCAGCAGTGGTTGATCTCGGTATACAGGCTGGGAAGTTTATAGGCCCGATAGCTAAGCTTTGTGGTGGAGGAGGTGGTGGCAGGCCGAATTTTGCTCAAGCAGGTGGGAGGAAGCCTGAGAATCTGCCAAGTGCCCTTGGAAGGGCACGGGAAGAGATTGTCTCTATTCTATCTGAAAAAGCAAGCTGAGATACTTCTAACTTTATACTTCGTCAAAATACATTCTGAAGGCTCCAATGCTAGGATTCTGTGTCCATAAGTGCTTAGGGATAGCATCATCCATTTTTTTTAATATAAAAATACGGTAAAGGTGGCAGGGGCCGATGAGAATGCCTTTATATAAGATGGGTAGGCAGGAAGGAAACTGGAAAACTGTACAGGTAATCTTACATTCTTTTTAAAGATGAATGTCATAGCCAAAATTGTATGTCATAGAAGAATATAATGTTTCCTCAACTACTACATTACTGGTAGTTTTAGCTAATGCTGGGTAAATGATAGCCGCACTTACTGGTAGTTTTAGCTAATGCTAGGTAAGTGATAGCCACACTATCGTGGGCATTCATAGGCTGTTGCCCTCTTTTTGGTTCCTGACGTTCTTTACATTTCAGTGTTATGCTTTTAATATGCAATTTGTTGTGGTGAACTAGTAGGCTATGCCTAAGACAATTTTCAAGCAAAGTTACACGTGAATATATATATATATATATATATATATATATATATATATATGTGTGTGTGTGTGTGTGTGTGTTAAGGCCATAATCATTGCACCATCAGAAGGCATTATGAGCTGTCGTGCTGTATGTATTTTAGTATTGTAGATGGGCTGATATTGGTATCGCCATGATTTGGAGATCAAATTTTATGCTATGTATTAATTAAGTAATAACCACGTCATGACCATCAAGGAAAAAAAGAATGTAATGGCCATATATGGTGTTCAATGATCTTGCAAGTGGGCAGCGCTTTCCTGCACATGGGACCTCAAGAAACCATGAACTGTCTGTTTGCTATCGCAAGTCTGTCCTTTTGTCTTTTTCTTATTCCATTTCCGATAAGTGAACTGAAAAATGCCACTATGAGCCAACCAATGAGATCATGATGATGTAAACATGGGGATGGAAGAAGTACCAATGACTTGAGTTTGCCCCTTCATTTTTGTTTCTGTCAGAACACTCATTTGGGCCTTGGCCGGTTTGATTGCTGAGACATGAAGCAAATATCCTCAAAAATATTTTGCAGGGAACAACTGTCGGCTATCAGGCTATGTTAGTAGTGGATGTTATGGTCTAGTCCCAACGTCCAATGCTAGAAAATTTAAGGCAAGCATTGAAAATGTGAGCAACCAGGGACAGTTTTTGCTTGACTTTGACCCAAAAGGTACAGGGATGAAGCATCAAGTTTCAGGCAGCTGGATCCGATGGTTTCGAATTGATGTTGTCTGCTCTAAGTGGTATCCACTTGGGATTCCATTGACCGAGGCTATGATGCCAAATGCATACGTTTTCTTAATATAATTGACGCTTAAAGGAAGGCAGTGGATCCAACTCATAGAGTGGGGGATGGTCCGTGGAATTATGGCTTTGAAAGCACTGAAGAAGATCGGATAATTTTGGGGCACTGAGCTGAGGAAAATTGTTACCATTTTGGAAAATATATTGTCAGGTTGTGTATGATTTATTAATTTTGATAATACCACAATTTAATGAGACAAGCGAATTCTTAATTAGAGTAAAATAAAGTCAAAATCAATAGATCTATAATAAAAAGCTAATCCTGGATTCAGTAATTAACAAGCTTGAGATGGAAAGATTAGTCATCTAGTTGAAAAAGAGAAGGTTCTCTTTGCCTATAGCCCACAATTGCTGTTGAGTTTTTGGCAATATGCTTGCTTGGCAAGTGGGTGTTGCTTAGAATTTGTTCTTATCTTTCCACTCATTAACAAGCAATTATCATCGTTCATCTTTGCCAACCTTATCTTCTTCCATCGTTTTTCCTTTTCCCCTTTTTGTTCCTTGGGTCCATACACGCTATGCCACTCTAATAAAAAAATCTGACCAAAATTTCAAGTTTTACTTTAAGAATCTCAAATAGAAAAACTTTTTCTGACCAAGGGTTTGTCTATCTGCCATGAATGAACAGAAAGAAAGCTTTTGCTGTGCCTCAGAACATCAGAGAATTCCCCCTCTTTAATTGCCCATATTTGCAAGGTTAATGTGTAGTATTTTTCAGTATAATGTGTTTTGCCAAAGCATGGGGAATGGAAACAGAGATGAAGCTTCTCCTAGAGGTGCCAAAACTATGCAAACTTTCACTTACAAATACCCATCAATCCCACTGTCAGAAAACCCGAAAAAAGACACATAAAAGCTACTCCTATTTAAAACTACATCAAGTCCTCATGTTCTCACTGCTTACCGGCACAGCTGTTTGGACACTGGCAAAGAGTCGGTGACAAAATCCATTGTCTTTTTGTTTTACTGTTGTTTTGTCTCTCCGCGTTTGAGCAAATGACTGTCTCTTTCCTTACTATGTAATCCTTCCCTTTCCATGGTAACCAGTATTCAAATCAGAAAAGGATTGTCAAAAAGTAATAAAAAAACCCCAATCCATACTATTCCGGAATTGCTGACCTGTTGTCCACACTGATCTTCCTGTGTGCCACACTATAAATAAAACTCAAGACTGTCTTTCATTGCTCGTCACCTACATTTCTCAACTCAATTCAACGCGAAATGGCACTCTTTCTGTGCTTGTTGTTCCTCCTCGTTTCTTCTGCTACTGCTTGTGATCGCTGCGTGCACCAGTCCAAGGCTGCTTATTTCTCCAAAGCCTCTGCACTTTCATGTAAGCAGCAGCAAAGTTCCATCTTACTTTCATTTTCCTGGTTGTCCTTCTGCTTTTTTTTTTTCTATCGATTTGATTAATACTCAGAGTAGTTTTCTTCCTTGAAAAAACGAAATTGGCAAAGACCCAGATGATATTTCTGTGAGAAATTTGGCGGGTAACATTTGTTTCGTGGCTTTGATATTTGCAGCTGGAGCTTGTGGATATGGTTCCTTGGCATTAGGCTTAAGCGGTGGACACCTTGCAGCTGGTGTGTCTTCTCTGTACAAAGATGGAGCTGGTTGTGGTGCCTGCTTTCAGGTCTGTAATTTTACAAAAACAATTAATTCTGGTATCTGTACCATCCATAGTTGAAACTGAGTTTGATTATTAACATCTTTTTGGCAGATAAGGTGCATAAATTCAACTCTGTGCAGCAGCAAAGGGACTAGGGTGACACTAACTGATCTCAATCACAACAATCAAACAGACTTTGTTCTTAGCAGCAGAGCTTTCATGGCCATGGCTAACCAAGGCGTGGGCCAAGACATTTTGAAACTTGGGATTGTCGACGTTGAATATAAAAGGTTAGCGTGATCAAACATTTAATCAGATTACTATACCAAACAAAATAGTAATGCTAGTGATGAAAATGAATGATTATGATATATTTTTTTTGAAGTTTTCTCATGCGATGGTTTTGTTACAACCACCACATAGAAAAAGTCTGTCCCGGCGTGGACCAACTTATAATATTATGGGGCATCCCGGCAGGCACATTAATTGCTATAACGGTCCAATATCTCCATCTCGTATTCCTATAGTTTACTATGCTGGGGTATTATCGTGATTCGTGATTGGTTCAATAAATATTGTTTTAACTTTGGTTAGCATTTATATCATCAATGTTACAATGCTGATCAACTCATTATGTGAAACAGGATACCTTGTGAATACAAAAACCAGAACTTAGCTGTTAGAGTTGAAGAATCAAGCCAAAAACCAAATTACTTGGCTATTAAATTGCTATACCAGGGTGGTCAGACAGAGATAGTAGGCATGGATGTGGCTCAGGTCAGCTCTGATAAAGGACTCAAAGAGTGCTAAATTTACATTATGGCTAAAACAATTTGTTTGTACTCATTACACTGATGTTCTGATATCGCTATGTATCATTCCAGGTTGGTTCTTCAAACTGGAATTTCATGAGCAGGAATTATGGAGCAGTGTGGGACACAAGCAGAGTTCCAACTGGTGCCCTGCAATTTAGATTTGTGGTGACATCTGGGTTTGATGGCAAGTGGATTTGGGCAAAGAGCGTGCTCCCAGCTGACTGGAAAACTGGCGTTATATATGATTCTGGTGTTCAAATCACTGACATTGCAAAAGAAGGTTGCTCTCCTTGTGATGATGGGAGTTGGAGATGAGAGGGTCTTGCTTGGCCAATCTTGTGTGGATACACATATTTATAGTGAATTTGAATAATTTAGAAGATTAAAAAAAATGAATATATAGTGGTTTTTTTCTCGTTGTTATTTCCTAGGTTTGCTCTTGAAGATGTCTAACATATTTTTTTTCCTACTCTACCATAATAAAATGCTCCTTTTTTTCTTTCTTTCTTTTTCTCTTTTGAATATTTGGTTTGCTAGGGAACAATAATTACTATGAATCTTCTTTTTAATTTGAATGTTATTTAAATTTGGTGCATGAAACATCTTTCTCATCAAAAAGAAAAAAGAAATCTTGAACATATAATAGCATTAATTTGATGTTTTTCAATTTCATATACTGATTTTCTCAATTTAAATTACCCAAAAGTAAAGGAAAAAATTAAGCAGACTCAAGGTCCCAAATTTTTCTTAATATAAAATAAAAATGATTAACTTCTTATTACACACTAATTAATTGTCAACCTTAAAATTTTATTTCTATAGGTTATGAAATTACTTAATATAATTTTTATCTGACGCCATGATAAGATATTGGATCTGCATAGGCCCAAAGCTCATTTTTCTAGTACCGACATTTGGTAAATCTTTCTTGGGCAAAAAACTTAAAAGCTCAGGGCCCAAATGAGTTGAAAGGATTTAAAAAAAGTGACTGCAGCCTGCATTTGCCGCCACATAACTGGTAACAAGGACAAAAGCCTGGTCATGTGAAGCCCCAAGATCAGACAAGAAAGAAATGGTCTTGGCTTCTTTTATTTTTTGTTTTATTTGCAAACCTCTTATTCGAAAAATAGTACTAATTACATATCAAATTATGAAATCTCACTTTGAAGAACTAAATTGAAATTAATTACATTAATGTGAAATAGTAATTAAACAAAATGAATGACATCAGGGTCAGCAACATTTTGGGTTGATCAGAATGTTGAATTGAGCTCATATTCATGATCATGTGGTTTATTTTTGTGAATCTTAATGGTCAAACCAAGATATGCCATAAGAAGGGCAACATGAGTAAGCAGCTCTCCACCGTGCCTCAATTGTTGAGCATGCTCTTTCCAAGAACAATGACTAGCAGCATAAATCATCATCTCCAACCACACCTTGCTAATCATTTCCCATTTCTCTTCATGATCCCACTGACAATCTGTGACTAAACTTTGCCATTTGCGGGCCAAAGGAGACCCACTGTCTATCAAGTCGACGCCGTAGCTGTCCACACCACTAGGTTCGTGCTCAATCAACGCCGCTGTAAATTTTTTCCTGCGAGCACTAAAGTCCATGTTCCCCTTTTTAAAATCTAAGTCTGGGCAAAAATTCTCCAATTGGGCGTGGCTTGCCCTGTTGATCAGTTCACCCAACCCTTTAGGCAGCATCATCGGACAGACTAGTACGAGGTACATCATGTAATCAGACAAAGACTTGGCAATTTGGCAAAATGAACAGAGTTTACCTATTCGAAATTTGTTAAGATCATCGTAGTAAACAAGCTCTGTAGCCAAATGCCAACGAATAATGCGTACCGAAAAATCAGTTGTGTCCTCTTCCAAGTCCTCAAAGACAGTTGCATCTAAAATGCTTTCACCTTTCGCATTTATTAACTTCTCAAGATCCTCAGGTCTGAAACCCTTCTCGGCCAACTTCTTACGTTTCTCTTTTCAGATGAGAAAAGATGAATTCCTTCAATTCACAGTCAACAGGCTTCCAATTGGTATGCCCATACTTCTGTAAAAGATTACCAGTGTCAATAATCCTTAGGGCTCTAATGAACTTTTTTGTCCTGGCCTTGACGAAACAATTTATTAGATCATGTTGTGCCATTGATTTGATTGCCATCTTGGCTTCAACCAAATGTATCCTGGATGCAACAGCCTTGTAGTACATTTTATGCACCTTGCTTTTAGGAATGGAAAACCGGATCATTGCCCATGTAGAGAGAGGGTGCATTATAGATGAATATATGTCGAGAGAAATAGCTCCCAACAACAGCAAATACGTAATCACAATGTCGACTTTTAAATGCACACTCTTGTCCATGATTGCCGAGAAAGCAATCAATGACGACGCAGCAGACAGAAAGCACAAGGCACGAAGACTTGAACTCACCTTCTGATGATTGTGATGAAGGGGCATCTTGGTGCAAAACAAGTCGTGAAGGTATTTCAGTTCAGTCCCTACCAATTTGAAGGCGTCTTCCGCAGATTTAGAATTAATGTAGACCATGTCATCATACAAGTTTGCTGAAGGCTCAAATGGGAGGCCAAGGAAGAGAGGCTTGAAAATAAGGAACGATGAATAAGCTTCACGGAGCAACTTGAGCTCGGAAACATTGCCTTTGCCTCTGAAACAATCGTTTATACTTTTGTTTTCCTCTGGTCTAGCCTTTTTTCCCTTCTTTCTTGGTTCCAAGGAATTTATGAGCTGCTTGTCGCTTGCCGATCTGAGAGCCCATATCCTCTCTCCGTACTTGCAAAATCCAGCAAGGAATATTGGAACAGCCATAAGATTGAGTTCGGTGTCTGATCGAAACCTGACGTAGATATATACTGCCTCTAACACTAGGAAGACCATGCCAAGAAAGTGTCGTAGCCACATCTCATTGTCTTCTAAAGAATAAGCCGTAATATTATGAGGGCTGCCAAGATGCCACAAAAGGAAAGGCGTCCAATATACAACAAGTCCATTTTTCAGCTTAACGTCGCCTCTGAGAAGGGTGCTCAGCACAAGCGTTGCCATCCAATCTGCCAACAAATACACTAACCATACAGTTATTGCAACATATGGCAATTTTTTCCCTATGTATCCTCGTCGAAGATTCCCAAACATGACGAGTACAAGCTGGAGGATAAGGCTGGTTACAACCATCAAGCGGAGCTCCCATTCACTCCAAAATTTTGTTGCGATTTCTGTACATATTCTCTTCAACGCCAAATTCTTGATCTCCACGTAGATGAGAGAGCGCAACTGAAACTTCAAAAATGTTTTATGTAATCAATGTTCTTGATCAGAAATGCATTTAACATGCGTGAATCTTTCAAGTTGTGGATAATAAAGTAAAAAAAAAAAGGAAAGGAAAAGAAAAAGGTAGTCCAACCATTGCATTGCTCATAACCAAATGAAGACTTTCTTCATTTCCCAAGATCTTTGGGAAGTCGTAGATGAAGGCTTTTTCCTGCATTTTTCTTCATATAATAACCTTAATAATGAAATAATTAGGCTTATTAGGCTTTTTTTTCTTCATTTCCTAATTTTCTGCAATTTTCAGAAAATATGGAACGCAATTCAGAGCAAACTTCCTATATTTGAAGCACCTCAAAAGAAGAAGAAGAAGAAGGGGTCTGTATGTTGCTAGTGGTTTCAGGAATCATATAATTAGCAGCAGTGAATTGGCACATGACTTAATGGGGTGATAGGACGACTCTAAGAACAGGGAACTGAAAGATTGAATGACTATCTAAGGAAGATTGAATTGTTCAATTCCCAGCCCTATCTAAGGAAGATTCAATATTTCAATTCTCTGCCCTGTTCCAGCTGATGGAGGACCGACTCTTCTACTTTTTCCGTGAACAGGGCTGGGAATTGAAAGATTGAATCTTCCTTAGATAGGCAGGGGAAGGGAAACACATGAACAGACAAGTGTCACAACGGAATCAAGCAAAGGTTACAGGATAAATGGTGGGTTCGGGACAGCACCTGGTGCCCACACACATACCGGGGCTCTGGTTAATACCTGCTCGCAAGTGGCTGAACGCAAGGGGGTGAGAACAAGGCTGGAGGGATTACAGGTTAATCACAAATGCGATTCAGGGTGGTCACGGTGGAGTAGAGAAGGAACTGAAATAAGGGTAGCGATGGGTTTTGACTGTACTCAGGTCCTAAGGCTGAAAACAAGTCTTCTGCCTACCCTTAGGCTTAAGACTTTGATTCAAAATCTTGTACTTCATTGTTACCACTAAATATTCAAGATTGTCAGAATTGAATAAGATAAGTAGCAATTCAATTTTTAAAATTAGTTTAACATTTATGAAATGATACAATAAAACTCACTTGTAAGTATCATTATTGTCGCTGCTGATACCTGTACACAGCAAATTGTCACCAAGATCAAGCAGTATGCTGAAAAGGCAGATTGAGCCACTACTTTTGACCTCAACGTGTGGCCGTAACAGGATGTAGGAGGGTAAAAATTGGACAAATGATCAAGCACTTCCTGAACGGGAAGAAATGTGTACATATCAAAGGTACACACCGTGGATCATGCAAGTCCCCTGGAAGAGTATTGAAGATAGAAAGAAAATTCTATTCTTGAGGAAACAAAAGAAGCAAAGGTGGTTTCCGACATTCCTCATCTTTAGTGTAAATCACATTAGAAAATAGGACCTGAGTGCATTACACTAGTGTAAATCACATTAGAAAACAAAAGAATCGCATAAGTAAAGACCATTGTGCATTACACTAGTGACTAGTGACAACTACATACTCATCCAAAACGCATGCAAATAGGAAGGCACGTAGTAAATAGCAAATTATATCTTAGGCAACAACTTGGTACGTAGCAAAAACTGCTTGAATATAACATTTTTTTTACATAAAGATTTTGAACTATATGACCAGGGATAATAACTTTTTCCTATCTCATAAACTTCTTTCTGTACATCTTAAGTTTAAATTCTAGTTAATGATGTCAATAGGATACCTTGTGATTCAGTATCCTGCATTGCTATAGCTCATTAAATAAGATTAGAATACTCTATAATAGAGTTTGAGTAGTAAAATTACTATATATTATTCATAATCCGATTAGAAATAACAAATTTTAATTATATATATTACTTTTTATTTATAAAGCTTTTATAGTTAATGTAATCTAAATATGATTTTAACTTTTAATTTACTTTTTACAAGTTAACTTTATTTATATTAATTTAATTTTTATTAATAATATACATAAAAATTAATCTTTAATTTATTTTAATCGAATAATTAAATGATTTGAAATATTTAATGGCTAGTGTCTAGAATATTTAGGTATGGGTTCAAGTAACAATTTCAAATTTTAATTGGGTATATATAGGGTTCAAATATCTTAGCAAATAATAAGATTTGAGATAAGGAATCTAAAATACAACAGGTATTTTATCCATTGACATCTTCTGTTCGAGCTCAAGATCA